TACATATACCTACCTACTAACTCTAAGTATTGTTTTGACGGTTTTTTGTCTAGTCTAGGGTACTCCAGTAGATTTCCACAGTCCAAGAAAAATTACGACATAAAGTGGTGTGCCATATTAAATATTATGCAGTCATCAAGGACAACACTTAAAATTGTAGTGAGATATTTTTTTTAAGCTGCAATCTACATTTTATGAATTTCATTTTCTTTTAACTCCGACACAATTTTAAATAGGTTCTGCTGCACAAATATGAGGGCAATGGTTTGGACAGCTGGTCTAGTAGATTGGTTGATAGCCCTGACTAACTGTATATAATTTTGACCTCAATTCCCTTTCATTATTTAATATTAATCAATTAATTCGTTTCAAGTGATCAATATTTAGGAAAAATCATAGTTCGGGGCTACATAGACATACGTAATTTTTATAAGAACAGAAAACGATGACTTCTGTATGTAATTTTAAAAAGTAGAATTTTTAACTAATAACACTAATATTCATCTGAAAGCTTTTCGGGGGTCACCGCGCTATTTAAAAAATGTCGAGCATCCATTTGAAATAAATGTAACAATCTCACTAAAGCTGCGTTATCGGGGCCATTAAACAAGGACTACGCATTGAACTATTATTGAGAAAGCATCCGAGCTTAAGTGATACATTCATATCATATCACGCGGACGTTATGACCACGAAAATGACATTAACACAGAGAACACTTTGAATCCATTAAAATATACATTGGGAATTATGCGCCTGCCAACCGACCTTTACAAACACTTTGATTGTTTAAATACATATCTCGAGGGCACACTTACAGTTTAATGTACGATTTATATTAACTTATAATGACGTCGTATATAAGTATATTAAAATGAAAGTGGATTAAGACTAGTTGACATTGACAAACACAAAATACGACACTCTTAAAACGGATTTAAGCATTTAATTATTACTTGTAAAAAACTCGAACACTTTTTAATGTTTAAATGTGTAACACAATTAACAAATTAAATAGGGATCACATACCTATAAAGATATTTTAAAATAATGTACCATTTTTTTTTTGAATTTGTTATTGAATTTGTTATTGTATTATAAATGAAACTTAAAAGTTTTTTTTTTCACTACGAATTGATCGTAAACTAACTCCTCATCTTTGCTGATGATCTTTGATACTTCATGATTTTAAAATCACAAGCTTCGTGTATTCATTGCCATATTACAAAAACAAAACATACCCGAGTCAACAAGTGAAGTGGAGAACTGACCACTAGCTGCTCTAGACGATCGCGCGACCACGGACATTTCCAAGGCATTTCAATAATTATTATTAAATTTACTTTAAATTGAATTGTATGAGTGTTAAAGAACTACATTATTTAAAAAAAAACCGATATAGTACTTTAAGCATTTTTTAATTCAAGTCTGTTAACATTTGTTCGCGCGCACGTAGTTCTCAAACAAAGTATAATAATATGTATGTTCGCAATCGGATTACGATACGCAACATCTCACGCATGCGCGCGAACACGGGACCGTTCGACACGGTACTGGCTACTGGCACCCTGTCCTCCAGGAATCGAATCCCAAGTATTCCCGACTTTTGGGCGCACACCTCCCGCTGTGAACGTGATTCGCAGAATGAAACAGCGAAGAAAGTATCATAAAAAATTTTGAAATAGAACTTTATTTTTAAAAACCATGTACTTTATTAATTTAGTTTCTATGTCATGTTTAATTTTTATGAAGAAAAAAAAAGCTAATGAAATTTTTGATCTGAACACACTAAGATTTAAGGAGAGTACCCATCAGCAGGTAACGACTTAACTATGCTCCTGGTATAACTACGTCCACGGTGACTACTTACCATTAAGTGTACTGTACGCACGTCTGCCTATAATAACAGTAAAAAAGATTCAGTAAATTTGTGTGAAGTTCGAATCATTTTTGCTATTGAGGTTAGGCAGACTTAGATCCTCTGCTGTGAATCAATTATGCGTGTTTTTACTGTAAATGGGCAGTTGAACTCACGGCCTACTTAGTGTTAAGTTGTAATCGGACCCCACAAATATCTCAACGTGAATGTCGGCAACTTTTTTCAGACAACACTTTTTCAGATAAGTCTTACCACAAATTCACGAATTACCTTTACATCCACGATACAGGAATAACATTGTTGTAATAAATATCAAACCCGACAAAATATATTTTGAATTATTTCTGGAGGTAAGCCGTCGTGTGAGCTCTCGCGGATAAGTGTGACCAACACCCTGCCTATTAATACCGCGAAGCAGTAGTGCGTTCCCGTTTGATCATGAGACAGCCGCGATACTATGCATTTTTGCCAAACATTTATTGATGTTATTCCAGTTGACCTCTTCGATTAAATGCCGACAAACTGCTAATTGGGCTATATTAGCAAACGTGATGTAGGCATCTCTCTAAATCAGGAAATGAGGTCAAAATGAGGTAATCATTATTGTTTAATAGATCAACGCTATATTACAAAATGTGTAAATATCGCAAGGCTATCACTAGGATTTTCATGTTTCATCTGCATATAGGGATCTCAAAGGGAGCAAGCAAATCAGTTCTTTTTAATGTTCTATTACGCGAAATGTGGCGTTGTCGTTTCGCCCTCTCCAATGGAATGATGTGATACGAATGTCAGCGACGACCACGATGGGGGCTTGTTTTACTACCTAGTTAGTGCTCTAATTCGGTAGGTACTTATGAATTGGGCTGCATTTAGTTTTGTGTGTCAGAAACCATACTTGATATATAGGACAAATAGTGTCTTAGTTTTCTTCCTATAAAATATTTATGGTGACAATTTATCCTTTGATTCAAATAGGTTGAAAATAAATCAATAATAAAATTAAAATATAAACTGTAAATGAAATTAAGTATCCACCTAGTATCTTGGAACGAGAACTTAGGCGGAAAAATAAAACGAACATATTGTTATAAAATATCCATATCAGAATGCTTGTTTTATACATTATTGTTAGTATAATTTTGAAAATTGTACATTTTAATAATTATTATTTAGTACAAAAAATAATTATGATGGGTATTTTCACTACCGGAAAGAAATCAGGCATAAAATCCGTTTGTTTTGACCGATATCTAAGAATTGATTGAGAATTTCGTACGTGAATTAAGAGTTAACCCATTAAATTAACTTACCGGCAATGTTTCTAACACGAGCTCTTTAGTTTTCCAGCACAGCCACGATGGAAGCTTCATAATCACTATTACGCTAATTACAACTGAAACGGTTACAAGGACAATTATCAAATTGTATTCTTCTAATTGGTACATAATAAGTTATTCGAATCATAGAAGAATGAATTTATAAGGCCATAAGGTATGTAACCGTATGAGTCTCTATGCTATCCCATCATGTACTGCACGCCTGTTCGGGCCACGCCGCTAGCAGCATATTAGTGAGAAGCTGTTAACATAAATTAGGTCTAATTAACTACTTCCAACTACAAAATTTTCGATCGCCTAGATTAAAGTACTTCGGAACGTTCAAAAAAACAACAACATAGGTATTAGGTATACGAGTATAATTGCTTTAGATACTTTGCATAGCGTGCCTTATTTATAGTTGCTTCATTAAGTACCTTAATTTGGAATTACGCTTCTATCTTTTCCCTAACTGGAGATCGATAAGATCTGAAAGGCTAGTTTTAGAGTAGGTAATGTGCCATAGGGGTCGGCGAAGACAAAAGTATTAGGCATATAATTATTGCTTTAGATACTTTGCGTAGCGTACCTAATTTATAGTTGCTTCGTTAAGTAGGTACCTTAATTTGGAATTAAGCTTCTGCTATCTTTTCTCTGAATGGAGATCGATAAGACCTAAAAGGCTAGTTTCAGAGTAATGTGCCATTAGGGTCGGCGATGACGAAGTACATCCTGGGAAAATGGGTTGCGCTCGCACTCGCGCTAATTCACTTAACGTCGAGTCGAAGATAAAAGTGGCGCTATAGATATGGATCACCCATGTTGGCATACCGGTTGTATTGACCTGCTTATCTAACTCATACCTTGTTTTCGTCTACTTAGCTGAAAATTCGTGAAAATAATGCTCTATAGTCCTCTATAGGCGTGAATCATAACACTAGCAAGTGAGCACTAAATGGGGATGCGATCGCCGTGGCCTTTTCCAAAATGTTATAAAGTAAGAAGATACCAACCGCTTTTAGGCAGTTCATTCATTCACTGAAATATGGGTTAAGTTTTTTAAAGACTATATTATATGCTTTATGGTCAATTTAAAAAAATTTAAACAAATCGGAGCCTGGTAGGACGTAATTCAATAGAAGATGGCCGGGAAAGGATTATCTTTATTAATTGAATTTTTATATTTAATCATGTATATTTCAAAACCCGAATTTTCGGTTAATAATAATTATTAAAGACACTTACCAAACCATTCCGGTAACCGAGATAAGTTCTAATATTCAGTCTAACGAAACGACATACATTTTTTTTAGTTTTAGCTTCATAAGACAATATTTAAAAATAGTGCTCAAATAAAAAAATATATAATTTGGAACGGTACATATTCGATTACAATTAGTCAATAAAATACTGTTTATTTAGATATTAATATATTTTCGAATCTAAAATGTACAAAAAATACAACTTAATGTACTCGTAACGACTGCTTTTTTTATGAATAAAAACATTACGATTCGAATATATTGGAAATTTTGGTACCAAACGGCACACACTTCATGGCTTGAATAATTGACAATAAATACCAAGTACATGAACCGGAGTAAGCTACTAGGAACATAAGGAGAATAAGCCATCGAAAAAACTCCTTAAAACAAAAGTTTGCCAACATTTCGTCAAATCATTTTTTAATCCAAATTAGAAAGTCGATTTTTCAAATTTCGTATATTTCGAAAAAAAAAAAAAATATAACCTATGGTACAGCTGTACAGATTTTTGTATAATCTAAAATAAACATAACGATCTAATTTAAAATTATTGTTTAATCAACCATCACTTTTATAACAACTTTGGTTGTGTATGCTAATCGTAAAAATATAGGTATTTTAGATATTTACAATTTATATAAACACATACGTACATAGGTAAAATGCACAGCAACACAAAAATGGCCTTAACTATTAGAAGAACTAAATAACACAGACTTAACGTCGCTCACTTAAATGATTTGTTTGGAGAAGAGGACTAGTCTTTGTTTTCATCACAGCAAACAAATTGTCTCGATATCTCTACGTACGTGAAAAAGAACGCTTCCCAAAAAATCTTTTAAGTAAATGACAAACGTTTAAATCACTTTGCAGTGTTTTAAGGAAAACATAAATAGCATATAGGTATAATAATAATATAACAAAACTATCAACCTATTTTAATATTCACAATACAAAAATACCCTTTTCTCAGACGACAGGCCAAGACAAAAGACACGATTTTATACAAACAAATAAAATCGATTTCGTACGGGAGTGTCTTTAATGTGTTAGCGACTGTCATCCTTTCTAATAAATATTTTTATCACACATAACTTATCCTATAATGAGGAATTTCTTTATTATTATTGACAAACAGCACAAAACGGATTATAAAACTACATGAAATAATATTAAACATTATTAATTGTAACTAATTATATTTTCCCACAGAAACAGAGATTCCCGTACGGATCCATGTTTCTTGACACCGAATGCAAAGTGATCGGCTGTTCTACGCCACAGAGTCAATTCGTGAACTATAAAAATATTTCTATTATACATCAACAGTATCACAATTGTCAATGCAGTCCAATTGTAATCTTCCTGCAACGTTGGATGGAATTTTGGACCCTTACAATATTTATTTTTAAGAAAATATCCTCTGTGGCAATAGTACAGTTATAAAAAACTTCATAAACCTACTTCTTTTTTTTTTTTGTTTATTTTTCTTATATAATTTCAAGTTAGTCATAACATTTTATAATAATATAATAATTATCATGCCAATTTTCTTCATAAACTCTAATATTTCTTATGTTGTCCTTATAATAATATCTTTTGTGTCTACCGTTAATGACGAAGCTGTTCAAAGATTTTATATTTATTTAAAAAAAAAAAAAAAACGCAACGACATTGCAGTGTTCGACATTCTCGCACTCTCTCGCTTACGGTTTGTACGATTACATTATTACAACTAGAACGGGCTTATTAAACTTTATGAGGTACGCAACATTCTTAACATCGGACCGATATTAATTATTAACACATGAATTACAATTAAATTTTTTTTCATAGTCCTAATATTAACATCTATGCAGAAAACGAAATGTTAATGGCAAATGTCATTTTATCGAAATAGTATATTAATCTTCTTGTGTCTGGAACCTTTTGATTTGTAATAATTATTCTTTCTCATTTGACTGCTTAATTCATTTAACGAAACGATTTAGTTAGGGGAACGCGTTTTTGATCTATATGATTTTATTATATACGGACAGCACTTTTAAATCACACCACTAAATAAATGTTAGATCCTGCTGTTACGAATCAAAACCGCATATTTATCATTTTTTCTCAGGTATTACCATCATGACAGTGAAATAAGTTAAATTAAATTTGAATTATTTTTTGGAAGACTGAAATGAGTTTTGGACTGACTGATAGTATTTTAAGTAGCTTAAATATTTGAAACAAGGCTATTTCAAATATATAGGCTGTAATATAGGTTATATAATAAAGGCTGAATTACTATTCATTATTCTATTTGTTCAGGCACGAATGCATTAATTTGTATGACTTATTTTTATTGTTATTATAATATCGGCAACGCCTTCGTTTATAGATTTAATATTACAAGGGGAGTGGACGTCTCACCAACTTCTTTTAGTCTTTGCGTAAAGTAATTATGTACGATTTCGTAAATCTGATCAAAAATATATATTACTATGTGTATATACCTTTGTCAGGATGCAAATTATATTATAGCATTTGATGCTTTCTTTTATAGATTTTTTTTATACGTTCGAATATAATTTAAGATTATTGCTATTATTAAATGTATTTAGCTTATAAAATCTACTTTTTTTTCTCGTTTGAAGGCGTTCTCTTGTACTTTACTTATTACTTGTATTTTTATGTGTACGTCTGTGTTACTTACGGAAGATTTCGACTCTCCCATCTGAGAGAGAGATGGCTGTTATCCGTTTTTTATTTTTTATTCTATCAGTAATGGTCTAACATTCAGACTATTAGTTTATATGGTATAAAAATATTTGTATTTAATACTTAAATTATTATTTCGTTTATTTTTATTTTTATATGGATAATCTAATCTTATTTGTACGTTCATTGGTTAGTTAGGTAGCGCAGTTCAACATACTTCCGCGCCTACGTGTATATTACAAACATATTCCCAAAATAGTTTAAAGTTACAATGAAACGAGAATCAACAGTTAAATGAATGACTCGAAATTTTACAACTCTCTTAAGTACTCGATGACCAGTTGCAAGTCAATTCCGAAATTCAAATGAATCAGTTACTTTATTAAATCTAGCATAACTATTGGTTTCTATTTCAATTCCCGATACAGTGATATCAACGTGTATAGTTCTAATGAAAAGGTGTATAAAATTGTTTGCGATACTAAAATACGTTCAATGTGCAAAACTAAATTGTACTATTAATAAGCAAAACATCGCGCGAGTCACCTTCGTTATTCTTTCATTACATCGAGGGATTACAGTGGTCCCGACATGTAAATGCTGGTAGCGAAGATGTCATTGCCACGCATGCCCTCAAATTGTAAACATTGACGCGCCATTAAAATCGATACACCTGATGCGGACACTTCATTTTATGTACGAATACTCGCTGTATTTGAATCGATCAATTGAACTTTATATTCAAGGACATAAAATCGATTTTGATTCAGCCAAATATGACGAACATATGTACGTACGCAAAGTGCCCGCATAACCGACATCGCACCCGACATGTACTAACAGCGACAATAACTTTACACATCAACGCACTCGACGTGTGCATTTAAACAATTAATCTTATCATTAAAACACGAATAAGTATACGCTAATGAGACATTAACATATTACGCATCGTATCAATTATACAAAAATTTTATTAGAAATTTGCTAGAGATGACACACAACATCGATGTCCCGCCATTGTCAGACTTACTTTTAGACGATAGCGCTGCCAAAATACAGACTTCGAAACATTCAATTTACATTCATAATTTTAACGGTATATATTTAAATGTCACGACAACGATAAGGAGACGACGAGTAAGCGATAATTACAGCAGAGCTGATAAGCGAGATCGTCATCGGTCACAGATCAAAGTATCGATACTTTATACAAATTAATTGCTTGAAATGTTCTTAGTGGTTGCGCAATCGAAATACGACGGTCGAGTCGAGACGCCTCAAGATCGAATCGTATCGCTTTTACTTTTTAAGCCAGATGTTTCATGTTATCGAACACGACGTAGCCAACTCAATAGTACGGCTCCACACTACGGCCCTTTCAGACTTGAGACTAGTAACTATAATTTTATTTTTTAACGCAAATACTCAGAGCTTATTTTTGCGTCTAATTTGAAGGTATATATTATTGCTTTGTTGTCGATCAATCACGATTTCAATTTCGGGACATGTCGAGTTTTGATTTTTTTTTGTTTTCACATTTCACACTAATTTATAACAGTAGGCACACGTGTTTTGTTTTGAACAATTAGTCAAACTGCATCAAGAGATTTTTTTACAAACTATGTTTCAGCATTATTTACTTGTAAAAAGCTCTTCGGCTAGACAAAAACTCCTTAATACGTTTATTCCTCTCACAGATCAAATCGTTGTACATATCACATGTAACAAATCAATAGCAGCAAATTATCAAAAAAATACATATATATAATATAAAAATAAAATTGTATGAACAATAAAAAATGTAAACAAATGACATGTTATGAACAATGGGAAAATAAACTTTGATCCAAACTGTTATATACTTCGAGATCATGAAAATTAACAACAAAACAGAACAAAAAACACAATTTAATATCAAAAGGGTTTAATAAAAACTGAACAAGTGAAAACATAAGGAAAACTTTGTAATGATTTAATCGTTATCAATATGAAATCATTTAAATCAAATTAAGACGCGATCATTTAATATGAAACGCGATGTATTTAACAAAATATTTACATTAAAGCAACGGCTACAATTTAACAACTTATGTACACGCTAACACAAAGTTCTCCGCCAGAGAAAACCATTCATTACCTCATACGAGCTTATAATACAATTTACTTTGTCATAACAGGTAACATCTGACTTACATATTATCATACATATAACGTTCACAACGCCAAAACATTCGTTTATATCTATACAATATTGCACGCGGTATATTACTATTGTACATGCTGTATGTTAACGAGTCGAATTTGCATTCTTTGTTTTATTTCCGTTACAGGAAGCTACCTAAATATTTCGCATCGAAATGTATATTTAAAATATATATACTACACGTACACGTACATGAGTACGTTCGTTTCAATTTTACCGTTACACAATTTCGTCGAAGAATTTCTCATAATTTTTTTTTAATTGAGGAAACGATGATGTACAACTCCAGATGACTCCGAGGTAGACGTCTAGCAGCACTAGAGCAGAGCGCGGCAGCAACGTTATAAATGCAAGTTCGGCGAGGGCGGTCACTGCGACAACAGCTTCTGCAGCAGCGACGCCTTACTGCCCGCGCCCGCCGACCCGCCCGTCTGCGTCTCATCACCGTCCGCCGCCTCCGCCGAGCCCGCCTCCGTAGTATTCTGTGTCGTCACATACAACAATTACATACTTCACATACACGCATCATGCTCCGAAAACCTTTCGTCTGTGTTGCCAGACCGGAGCTCTACCGACTTAGTTGTGCATATTTTGCACAAAACTGTCGTTAATTTATTTAAAACTTTTTTCGGTTAAGTTTGATTAATGACAAGTGATAACGATCGTGATTGTGAGGTACGTTAAATTTAATTATGACACAATATAATTTATTCCATATTATGAAATCACAGGAAATCCTTTCTTTTAATAATTGTCATTATCTTTCACAACAAACAAGTAAAGGCCAAATATAAATAATTAAAGTGTATACTGCAGACGATTGAGGAAGCGTAGAGAAAATATAGGTTTGTTTAATTTACAAGAAACGATCAAAACTTTGAATGAAATAGTGGGGTAATAAAATGATGAAGCGAAAGGAAGGAAAATAAGGATATATTTGTCCTGCACTATATTGAAAAAGTTATTGATTAGGTGTATCAAATATTTAATCAGCTAACTTTAATCTGAAGAACTAATTCTTCTCTTACATTCAAGACGTTCCCTCTCACTGTGTTATTATTTTACATGTTTTAACCTTACGCATGTTTTTAATAAAAGTTAATTTCATGGTAATGCAGAAGTTAACTTCCATTATGGTTATATCGCAATGTTATCTTATAGATGTTGTGAATTTATCCGCCCGGGCGTTGCTGGAATAGCCCCCTAGGCTACCAGCGTATAGGTAGGGATTTTTTTTATGAATTTTTGTTTTACAAGTTGTAAATTTATGATACGAAAAAGGAACTTAACGTGGCTCATATAAGCATGTGTCGGCAACGAATAATAAATCCATTTTGATCGCTGCTTGTTCTTTTACAGTGTTTCGTCTCAATCATGCAAACGCTCATTGAATATCTACGATAAGTAAATCAAATAATTCGCCTACCTCAACACTTTAAGCAAACAAGAAGCAGACTAACTATTGCAAACTCAAGATCATAATCGACACTATTTTTTTAAATCTACGTCACAAGTCCTTCACCATTTTTTGTTGACACATGCGTTCGGAACCCAATTTTAGAAAAATACCTCTTTTGACAAACGCCTAAAAGCGAAAAGATTTCGATATCATAGTCTAACTAAAAACTGTATACGCAGCACCTAAAAATCTAAAAGTAGCTAATAGGACATTATTAGACATCACATCACAAAAGCTTTTTCAGAACTCAGGAATGTACCAGTTTAGCCACTTCAGGACGCTACGAATATACTATATTTATATATATATGTATTATTTAATTTTGCTCTAATTTTTCTATGAACTCTGGCTCGACATACATTTCACGGTAAAATCAGCACAGAGCACTTTTCTTTTAATTTATATATTTCGCAAACTTGGGTACATTTCTTTCCATCAGCGTCTAAATTTCGAGGATGATTCGATTCGACAACACACGCAGCAGAGCAGACTCAATCAATTAGGTACTTAGTATTTGAAATAGGTCTACGAAAACAATGAAAACCGATAAATAGTGAAGTGGCAAGATGATGCAGTCGCCGTTCGCGTCCCAAGCTTACCGGGGTGCACTGTTGCGACTCCCACGAGCTTGTCGCCGCCGCGGCCCGGCCTCCCAGTGCGGTACTGCCGCCACCTACGTACGCACACACGTGTACAACGGCACGGGACACTACGGACTCACAGCACGCAGTCTCGTTTGCGAACGATTCATTACATTATTAATTCAAACTATATATTTATATAAAGTCGTCAAGGAGCAGACCGTTTCAATTTTGACATCCTTTCAAATGTCTCAACAGCACTATTCACACCGGACGCTGATAATGATAGCATTCTCATGCCGTCACTCTTAAAGATCTTTCGATTAGGTTATTTGGTATTTTCGAAGATTAGTAACGTTCAAACGTCACGCATTCAACGAAATAGCCCTACGATCGTATTAAGCGCCTAATGTACCCTAGTTATAAGTATATTGACAGTCGTCGTTACAGATTCGGATAGCGTGCGCGAGGGACGAACCTGGCGCGGGCATGTCGAAGGAGACGAGCGGGTCGAGGTCCGGCGGCTGCAACGTATGCAGGTCTGGGCGGGCCGAGCGCGCCCCCACGACTGCGCGCAGCTCGTTGCGCACGTACTCCGACGTGCCGCCCGCGCCACCCCCCGCGCCACCGCCCGCCCCGCCGCTCGTCCCGCCGCCGCCTCCCGCACCTGTGGGCACACAGCACCTCAGCCGCCGCACTTGACATTGATTGCTGTATATCTTCGATCAACAATAGTAACTAGATAAAGGGATACGTACAAAATTAAAGCAAAAACTGTCCGCGTGAATATATACTTATATAGCTACATTCGTTTACTAACAAACGGAGAAAAAAGTTTTGAAACACTTTTACTTTCAAACTAATAACAACTATGGCACCTAGTAATAAAGTCACAAATCTCCAAAACATTATCTAATACTTACGATCATTCGTCACATAAAACGAGCAAAGCAATAAATTACTCCTGTCACTTACCAATAAAAAGACATATTTTAAACAACTTTTAATGTTAAATCAATCTTAAGGTGCAACAAATAAAGTAACTTTTCCCTTAATTGCTCTGAGAACTAACATCGTTTTGCTTTATTTATTTTTGCTTCTTGAAATGCCGATTTCTATTTACTACAGGAGGTAAGGGAGTCGCGCTTAACACTAAAATAATTTATTAATGAATTAAAGTAAAAGTTTAGTTGTTTACTTTTTATGTTTTGGAAATGTATGTTTGTTAGTATCTATACATTACTTATTATTTTATTAGCGTTACGTTTTTGTGTAATATATATTTTTAAGTTTTCGCGACCAGTGCACATAATAAAACAACGTTTAAACGGTTTCAAGCGTGGTATTTTTATTACAATGTTTCGGCCACATTTCAGTAGCCGTGAGCACGGAAGGCAAAGATGTCCAGTGTCAATAAGCGGAGTTCTTAGCTGGCTTATAAAAGTCATCTCTTGTTTCTCTGGCGACAATCGAGATCCATTCTGCACACGTGATTGCTAGGAAAGCTAAAATAAAAATGGAAAGCTAAGTATCTAATGAGAGTCCAACAAACAGACACAAAAGCAGCATTAACCAATTTTAACCAACTAATTTTGAAGTGCTGCTAACAAATTTTAAAAAATTATTACAACACAAATCTACTCCATGCATTTACTGTTCTGTTAAGCAAAAGTTTGTCCATGTGTTGGCCGAGCCTTGGCCAACATTTGTAGCGGTGGTTAAAAATCGGTAATTTTGTTCAAAATTTAATATTATTTATAAGTTTAAAGCTTACAATATAGTTTATACTTCATGTACTTACCGAAAGTAAGATACTCCGGCCGTTAAATTGCTTTTTCGGGCCTTATTTTTGCAACTTTTGAATACACACTGCGGTATTGTGAGACGGGTTGACATTGGCTGTGTTTGAAGTGAACTAAACAAAATAAGAGCTCACATTTCAAGTGCGCTGTTATTTGACGAGACGGATTTTATGCACCGACCCGAAATCTAGTTACTATTGTTGATCGAAGCTGTATATTATAGGAATCTAAAACGACTAGTTGCGGTACGGTGCCGAACATGTCTATCCAAATTCATTTCGTAATAAAATCAAAGCTTAAGATGCGAAGATTGTTCATGCAGAGCGATAGATTCAAAGGCAAAATATATGAAAGGTCGTAAGCTCGTCGACGATGATCTCAGGACAACTCGGAAGATCTTGGCTTTGGTTCCCTAAAAAACTGTACCCAGGCATCTCGTTCGTCGTTTATAAGAAAACCTAATCGAGATCGACATACCGTCTCTGTCGCGGTCGTGAGTCCGTCACATGTTGCGACAGGTCGTGTGTGGTGTCGAGGCGAGGATACTCACATGACAGCTGGTGGTCGTGGGGCGGGTGGGGCGGGTGAGGCGGATGAGGCGGGTGGGGCGGGTGCGGTACGTGTGGCGGCAGCGGCGGACAGCGTGCGTACTCCGCGCAGTACCCGCCCGCGCCCTCCTCGTAGTAGCCGCCCACTGCCACATACGCCGCGATAGATTAGCCTAAATATCCTACTTTCGAACACCTGGACCTCCTCACCTACCTAAATGGGAAACGGCTTCTCTGCTTCGCAATTCGATCGACAGGCAAGACATAACTATCGCTGACCGTGCCGAGACAAGTCAGCTCGCTCTAGAGATTAAAGTTTGAAAAAAAATTGAAGAAAACTGTCGAGAGCCCTTTTATATTAAAATTAGATCATCGTAAATAAAAGCTCAAACATGCAATTAGTTCGAAAATGTTATCCAAGAATCGGAAGACCCGAATTTAGCAGGGCACTATTTCTATAGTCTACGGGGCATGCTGAAGACGATTTCAAGAATGTCATGCTTTAAATACTCTATCTGCATTACACATCTACGCCTAAAGATTTTTTTACTTCACCCTACATGTAAAAAGAAGCTAATAAAATACAAACACTATCTTGTACTAATTTTTTTGAGATCGGTCTACCTCGCCGAATTGTTTTTAATTTAACGTTTTAGGCAGTACGAAATATCACAATAGGTCTTGAAACTTTTAATTATTATATTTGCGAATGGTATCACAAATAATGTATGATGTTTCGTTGTCTGCCGGTTGAATGTTGTCTAAGCGCGTACCTAGATGCGGTCTCGGCGGTCGGTGGTAGGGTTGCGGCGACATGGGCGTGTGCAGTGCGGCCGCGTGCGCGTACCCGCCCGAACCCGGCACCTGTACGCACGCGTATATAACACATTTTAATTTTCAGAAACCATTATATGAAAAATTAAAATACATTTTTTATTTTTAGTCTGGTGATATCAGTGAAGGAAAAGTATTAAAATTATAATATTGTCATCGAACTTTAATACGTGTACAAATATTCATTTGGAATTTTGATGATGGTGAAAAATACCTTCAAAGAATACGTCACGTACATAGATAGATACAGGTAAAGCTAGTAATAAGAATTGAATTTAGAAGGCTGTAAACAAAAAAATAAATTTCGTAATTCAACTAAATTAAAGATAAAAAAAAATTTTTTTATATTATTGTAAGTCGTAGTCAATAGGCTGTTACATAAAACAATATTTTTCATATAAAATATGGTAAAATATGAATCTTAGAAAGATTGCAAATAAAAATAAAAGTTTACTTACACTAAGCTGTCTGCTTAACATGGGGTTCTGATTAGTGGTAGTCATTTTATTTGTACCATAATTTGACCCTATTTGACCTGAAACGAATTTACATTAAATCAGAATCTACACAATTTCAAAAAGATGTTATTTACATATAGAAGAAATTGAACTCACTCGTTTGATATAGATTATGATGATAATCCGTTCGAGTCAGAGCCACGTTGGGCGGAGTCGCGGAAACGAGAGCATTAATGGTCGAACCAAGATCCTGCTGGGGCTGATCGGCGGCCTGCAATCATTCCAAATAAGATAAACGGTACACAACTAATAATATTATTGAAATTTATTCAATGTCAATAGTTTGCTGTTCTGTGAAAAAAAATTATTACTCAACAGATTGAACACAACTTGTTAATAGGTTCTTGCAATCAAGAAAACGATGTGATGGCTTTCGTTCACATCGGACTTAGCCAATGCTTAAATTAGGAAAGAGGTTGGTTGTATTTGAGAATTCACTATTAAAAACCAAGTAATCTAAATATATTATGGGCCGTTCCTTTGATCTTTCAAAAAGCACTGACATCCTAGAAATTTAAATATTTCTGAAGAATGATCGTGTTAGCTTGTAATACTACATTATAGTCTATAGGGTAAAACAGCCATTACAGTACTAATAACCGTGATATCTATGTATCTGCCTACGTTACGTAATTGTAGAGTCGAGCAATCCGAAGAGCCAGCTGAGGATCATCATGGCGTTAACCACCGCAACTAATCCAGCTGTAATACGATAAGGATCGTGGGCGACTGCGCAGGCGAGCGAGGCAATATGAGATAAGATTAACCGTATCGGGCGATAGTGTAAGGCAAGTGTTGATATACCTCTGGCGAGACGAGCATCTGCTGCGAGCGCTGCATCTGTAGCAGGCGCGCGCGCTGCTCGGCGATGGAGTGCGGGCGCGAGCCGCCGGCCGCTGGGCTGGCGCCGCCCGGGTACATGCTGCACACCTGCGCACAAGCACCTCGTTACTGACTACCTATTCTAGTTTAATATGAAATGATGAATATGAAATGATGACCCCTGGTCATTTGGTGTTTTTTTTATGTACCAAAACAAATTATAAAAGAAAATGTAAAACAGAAAATATAAGGATAGACAATTTGTCTTTAGATTCATTCGCGAAGCAATTGCTCTTGAGTTGTTAGGTCTCCTTCGGAGGCGCTCGGGCAGTTGTTACCAAATCCCACCCCTCCTGGCTGAGCTTTTGCTTGCCCACCTGTCCTGGTGAAACTGGAAAGGCCTCCGGGCCACCAGTAATATATCAATCATAAAAAAACAATATCTTTCAGGTTTTCTCTAGAATATGACCCTTTTAGGAACCAATATTGGTTACTTAATAATTGAAGACATGAGTGGATCAAGGGGATATGATACAGTTTGTTAATTTTGAGAAAACGGGCAACAAACTTTTGTTACTTGTACCTTTTCTTCGTACATAATTCCTTCATCACATGCAATTTCTAAAAATCGCCTTTAAACACGGTGCTTTAAGGTCTAATATAGTTTATAGGCACATAGCACCTTCATTCAATGTAAAAACTCAGAAAATTGTACTTAGCCCCTTCATCCATTCATGTCTTCAATTGTACCAAGAACTTTGTCGTTAAACGGCACATTACTTATCCCTCAATCGATTTTAAATAACTGTACTATTAAGCAAAATTCTCTCTCTTCTTTTTTTTCTCATGAGATATCGTAATCTAAATTAGTTTAAACTAAAACTGATTTTTAAACGTTTCTTATTAACTTTTAGTTCTATTAGCAAATACACTGTACAGTGAAATACATTTGTATTTGTACTATGTACTATCTCCATAAACTAGACATATGTAAGCTCCATTATTGTACACAGCAGCTTTACTCATTTGTACATTTGGATAACCAAATTTTCAGTTCTATGTTGTTCATCGTCTTTTAGCAGTGAGGGCACAAAATTCGATTCATGTCGTTTGTATACAATGTATACCATACGTTTGTATATCATAAATACACAAGTATTAGTTTGAGAAATTGATTTCGATTATTATCTTCCTGAATATAATTTGTTTTTTTTTAATCTTAAATTTTAAATCTGACTTACCGGACTCTGCACAGAGAATGGCGGCAGTGCACTGGGACTCGTGACATTTGTATTCTTCGTGACCGTCTCACACTCGTGCATCAGTCTCTGTCGGATGGCGTTCACTATCGCAGTCTTCTCTTTCATGCCCTGCAAACGAAACGGAACATAAGCCAACTGTTTAAAGTTGACACTAAACAAAGCAATATATCGTCGTTGTCAAACCAAAATCTGGTATGTGCACTTTATGAGATTTTTCCTTTTTGACCTTTTCGTATAGTTCGCAGTCCTATCTACCGGAAAAAAAAACTGTTGTGTCTAATATTTATCTATAGCTTTCATTTGATATATTTCTTAAAAATTCACTATTCATACAATTTTTTATACGAAAACGTTTTTACTCATTAATTCTAAATAGAGTTTTTGCACATAGCAGATTTTGGTTTGACAGCGACGATATTCCAATTTTATATTAACGATATTTTTTTGGGTATTTTTATTTCGTTAATGCTTGCTCAATTTTAGTAATCCTTCTAATAGCACAATTAGATATAAAATATCTAAGGTTTTCCTTAAGTAAGGGGAAGGAGTTCAAATAGATTTTGAGGTTATGTGTACTGTCACAGAAATGCGTTTCTTGGTATTTTTTAGTTAAAATACAAACGAACCTGTCTTTGGCGCATGCTAACATCAGAAGCGGAACGATCCGAGTCGGGCATGCTCTCTATGAACTCGTCCAATATGTCGGACAGCATCAGATCACTGGGGACCTCGCCGTCACCGGGAACGGCTTGAGTCAGGCTACTGCTACTTCTAAAACAAAACGCAACCTTTTATGCAAGGCCAGGATACGACCGAATAGTATGAGCCATAACACGTCAGAGCTCGGCGATAAGTGTACAACGTTATCGCTCAAAACCACAATTGAATAGAAAATATCAGAAAAATCTAAATCGCACTAACGACCGTTTTCAAGAGAAACTTGCTTACATTAAAGTTTCGGTTTGCCTAGTAAAATTACTCGCTCAGTTAAAGATCTTCACATTCTCGTTCCAATCATGTTATAATAATAAACTATAGACTATTAAGCAATGGATACGCTACATGCGTGTGAAAAGTTTTTTTTTAATTGCCCTTGTAGGCAGACGAGCACACGGCTCACCTGATGGTGAGTGGTTACCGTCGCTCATGGACTTTAGCAATGCCAGGGGCAAAGGCTAGCCGCTGCCTACCGGTCAAAGAACATTTTTACTTTCACCTGTACTCAAGTATAATTCAGTAAAACTATACATAATTGTTAAGACGTGTTGTGAGCCAACATAGGTATGTATCTAATTTACATCTGAAGCGAGGATTATCACTTTCCGATTTATAGTTTATAAATTAATTGTACGAATATACTGAGACATTGTTGGACTTATACCCCAAGGCAAGTTTGCTGTATACGCATTATAATGTCCACGAATTTCCGTGACTATTAACTCCAAGTTCGACGTTTCGAATAACGTAAAGGATTAGGTAAGCTGTAGTTGGGAACTGACGAGGGCGGCTGGCTGTTGTAGGTGTGGTGCGGCGTGGTGTTGGTGTAGTGCAGGGGCGCGGGCGCGGAGGCGGGCGGGTAGCGCGCGCCGCCCTGCAGCACCATCTGCAGGTGGCTCTGCGCAGACGAGCACTCCGCCGCCGGGCCGCCGCCGCCGCCGCCGCCGCCGCCGCCGCCGCCGTTCACGTTGCCCGCCCGACTGCACAACATCAACAAATACTTATTACACTGTGACAAACGGGTTTATTGTGACGCCACATGGGAAAACACGTATACCTGTTCAGTTATGTAGAATAGGATTGCGATATATCACAGACGCGCCTACGAAAATGAACATTACAGAATCATTAAAACTTCAATGTCACGTCTTAAAATAGTGAACGGTGTTCAAATTTTTATGTACTCGTATTGGTTGCGGTAATCATTTAACTAGAAATATATGTATATTAAATAAATCCTATTTAAAATTTTGCAACATACATTTCAAAAAGCGCTTGAATGTATTGAAGAAGACAAGCAATTATGTACTGACTGGTTGACTCCGGTGAGTATGTTGGAGAGCGTCGAATGGTGCCGCTGGTGGTGCTGCATGGCGTGGTGGTGGTGATGCTGAGCTGGGTGAGGCGGAGGCGGCGCTCGCGGTCGATTGGTGGGTCCGTAGGGGCGCAGGCTGGGGTTGGGGAGCGGCAGCGGGGTGGTGGGCGTGGTCTGCTCGCGCGCCAGTAACGACACCAGGATCTGGTTCTTTCGGCACAGCGGACTCATGCCCGGGCCGCTCGTCGCCGGGCTCCCGGCCGTAGACGTCGCCGTCGATGACGCTACCGATACAGCACTGGACGTCACCTGTAACAATATATTCGTTATAATCATAACAACAATCACATTGTTCTTAGTCATCGCTTAGCATTAAGTGATTATTAGAGCCGAAAGACATCACAACGTAAATACTGCCGTCATTCAGTATCCTTGTTTAAGTTATTGGATATTTGCGTCTTTGTGTACTAAGTAAAGACAGTACGCGAGAAGTGGCGACGTCTTATGAAGCGCACCACTACCCGAACTGATGACCACGACAACTCTGCCAAGAGCGAAAACACTAATAAGATGAACTAGTAGAGGACGTAGGTAATAAGATTATAATATCGGATTTTTTGACATAGCATTTCAAAATATAACTTTACCTGTCAAACAAAGTTCAAGGCACAGTCAAAGTCGATCAAATATACACAGGGACGCATATGAAAAACTTATGTGTGCTAAGGGTTTTTTTAACATTATTTGCCTATCCGTACGCGTTAAATTAAGAAGACCGACGGGACAAACCTGTTGATTCTCTGGGGTCGCTCTCTTCATATTACCGCTCATCGCTTTGGCGTCTTCGAATTTGCGTTTGACACCGGCGATTCTATCCAGGTAGTTGTCGCTTCCGTCCTGCGAGCGTCCGTTACCCGCCGGGCCGTTGCTGCTCGACAACAGCTGGGAGAGGAGCGCGCTGGGCTGGGACATACTGCGATTACTGTCCGAAGCGCTTCTTCTCCCTTCCTCCGTATCTTCGTCTGATTTATCGTTTAATATCTGAAGATAATGGTAATTTCGCAAGTTAGATAAGTGGCTATGTCGCAGCGTTCACATGTACATACACTACAATATCGAGACGGTGACTAACCTTAAGGAGGACGTCGGAATTATTGTGATGAAGCTGTTGCATGGAGTGCTGTCCCGCGGAGTGCGAGGCGTGCGGCTGCAAGTGCGCCTGCGGACGCGCGTGCGACGGCGCGGAGTGCAGCGGGGAGAGCGCCGCGCCGGGCGTGTGCGGGGTGTGCGGTGTCATCGGCGTGTGCGGGGTGTGCGGCGCCGACGTCTCGCTTCCTGTCGCCTCTTCGTCTTCTTGCTTCAATAAATCTTTCAGAATACGATTGTTCGAGTTGGAGTTTGCTTCGGAAGACGAATTAGGCTTCTTGCTCAACAGCGTTCGTAACCGATTTGGCTCTTCAGGAGGCTGTACGACGTGAGCGCTTTCACCAGGAGTGGAAGGCGCCCGAGGCGTAAGCGGGGTTGAAGGCGGTCCCTCCACGGACCCATCCTTGGGTTCCTTGGAATCTTCATTTGACATTTCACCAAGGAGAGAAGAAGCCCAAGGTTCAAACTCGAAATCGTTAATAGAAAACGGATTCGTGGCCGGACTGACGGGAGATCGATACCGCGACTCGCACATGGAAGACTCTCCGTTGGTCACGGAGGGCATGAGCGGGCCGCCGACCGCAGGGCGAGGGCTTTCAGATTCCAACATATCTATCTCCTCATCACAAAGAACGCTGTGCGTTGACATTATGAAGTCAGGTTCACCAGAGGTGGCCTGAGACCTGAACAGCCGCGATCGGGCGCTGACACGCAACCACGGATGGTCGGGGGTGACGCGCAGTCGAAACGGTTCACTGACCGCAGGCGGCGCAGGCGCTGATGCTGCTTCCAGCAGATGTGCAGCAACACGTAGACGATCAACACTGTCAACCAAGTCCAAATATCGAGTGCCCACAAGAGAAACTGGTGAGTTTACTATACTGTCCACTGCACTCAAGTCACAAGCTGGAACAAATTGAAAGTTGATTAAGTTAGATGGCGCATAGATGGAAGGCAACAAAGCCTGTAAACAGAATATCGATACGCACACAAAATATTAAAATTGCAGTCTAATCTGAAGACGATATGATCGGACTGCTTGGCGGTGATGGCGGGCGGGCCGCCGTCGTCGGGAATAAGAACGGCCGACGCGTCGTCGCAGCGCCGGATGACGCACATGACGGAGCCGGCCTCCTCCGAAGAAGAGCCGCGCACTGGCGCAGCGTGTATCACTGTCTCCACGTAACTGTAACGCAAAAGAACACTTCAATCGTGCAACATGTTAACAATTATGTATTTACCGTTATCGATTAAAGCATTCAACAGCGATCGTGTCTCAGCAATAGATTGTTACTATGTGCTTCGGCATCGTAATTTGAAAAATAAAATATTATTGTTTTTATTTTAAATATATTCTTTAGATATTTTTTTTAATGTACAGAAAAGTAGCATCAAGGGCCTACGTGCAACAACGTTGATGATTCAACAAATTTCTATAGACAATTGTGATGTATTGTGGCTACGATAACTACATAATATTTATTTACAATAACAGTTTAGCATCCTGTTATCGGTGTAACATAATATTGGAACATGTAATTAGAGGTGTGGCTGATATCAGGTTATATTTAACAATTATAAACAAAAAGTGCTTACACGCCACAGTCAGTCCCATTTGAATTTTTAACGAGGAGCCTTGCTTTCACAAAGTGGAATTTATCAATATCTGCCGAGTCCCAGTTGAAAGATTGTATGTTCCTAAGTAACGGTCTTAGTTTCGCATGATCTTTCTCATGTAAAATCGAAAATATCGATTTCCTATATAGTTCTGTTCTTTCGTGAAGAATAAACTCCTTGATATTATCTGATACACACTCTATTTCACCTTTCGAATTAATTTCCAATAAAACCCATCCGAGGTTATTGGTGTAATGTTTGAGTGCCTGGAATTTAAAAAAAACCGTTATTATATAACTATACTTTTGAAAAAAAAACATATTTAATTCTGGCGTCATGGCAGCTGTAACGCAATGAACGCTAACCTCAATTAAAGTTGTGACTTCAGAATAATGTAATCCGGTGCAGGGCAACTGCGGCTGTGTTGAGCTGATCTCCCCGGCCTGTACTGGTGATAGACACTGGGGCGATCGTAGGGGACACTCGCTGGGACACTCGCGTCGCCGTTTCAATACCTCCTGGATCTGACGGGTGGCCTCTCGGACAATACCGTTCTTGTCCGGTTGCTTTACTTCGGCGAGACAAGTACCAAGAAGCTCCTCGAGTTGATTTATAGTTTCGTTTTCAAGTTTCCGTCGCTCTTTCTCATTCTGGCACTTATTACTGGAAAAAAAAAAGTTTGTTATTCTAATACAAAATCACCAACTGGTAGCTAGTAAGCTGGTGATGGGGAGCCTATAGACATCAAAATGTTAATACCGCCTCCTAGCTGGTGACGTGAAGTCAAAGTCTCAATTGTAGTATCACGGCAGAAATAGGCAGGATGGTGGTACATAGCCGTGCGGAATTGCAGTAAGTTACGGCTGGTACGGCCATTGCTTTTATCTTGAAGTCGTTCATGAACACGTGATAAGTACGTAAAAAAGGTACCTACCTACCTATGAGATATGCACATCACCATAGTCGTATTGCTTAATACCAGTACATCAAGCACTTTATTTTTAAGGCCGCCCCGCTTCAATTTTTACTTAACAAATTTTAAAAGCAGTAAAATTACCAGTACACCGAAATCTAAAAATTTTGCAAAAATACATTATTCTAATTCCAATATTTGCACAGTCATCAAGTGACGACCTATATACACTAACAAATATATAATACTTTTTGGCATCTGTCACATAATCTATTGAGATTAGATAAGGTACAATAATTTATGAAGATTTTTTTTGTTTTGAAAACTTATTGTTCCTTAGTATTAAAAATAAAAGACAAACCGTACTGATATCTGCATGCAGAAACATTTAAACAAAGATACGACATCGAGATATAAAGGAAAACAGAAGCGAATTCGTATCAAAGAAATGTGACAGCAACATACATACGATAAAACCATAATAATAATTATACATTTTAATGGAACAGAAATATGTTCAATCGATATAATAAACGCACTGAATACAGATTTATAGACATAAACGAATTATAAAATATAAGTTGAAGCACCAATAACAGAATTTAGTTAACAGTACTAACCCAAACAACTCTTTAACATTGAAAATACATCACATTTTTATTGTAATGGAAAACCTAACCTTCGTTTTGAATATATTGAGCTAAATCAGTTCGAATTTTTATTTAAATCTCTACTTAGCTCTACGGTAAATAGTATTTACCTAAATTAATTTGCGCTCTACGTGTATAACATTTGTACAGAACACACAGACTAAATTCCTCCGAGGTTTTGATACATTTAATTACAATACGTAGTTTTTGTGTAGTTGAAACTTCGTCTTAAATTTATTCAACAACCGGTCTTGATGGACAATGTCTCGTAATTCGTAAGTGGCCCTTGTCCTTTACGACTCGTGCAACACGTTCCGGCAAGTGATAAGCCTGTATGTCACAATTGATTTTTGACGTTATGCAACGTTGCGTACGTTTAGTCCTTGTATTTGGACACTGATCACCGAAGCTAACATTGTCGATGTCAAGTGAAAGTTATGAGTGTCTGTCTATCGAATTTCAATTCTCACTACAGCCTTAAAAGATAGGCAAAATCTTTTTACAAGTAACATTTCTCTTGTATGGTAGGTAGTAGATTTGTGAAATGCTTGCTCCGTTATAGTACTATAATAATTTATAATTATTGGTTAGTTAAGAATCAAAGTTATGAAAATGTAATAGGCGTGGGTCAAATAGCACTCTCATGATTGTTGAATTTCAAAAAACCTATTAAAGGCACGTACTCGTTGAAAGTCAAAACATTAAGGAAAATGACCGCTGGCGCGCTGAGTTCTTAGAAAGAAGCCAGCAGACTTGAAAAGTACAGCCTAAATCAAACCAGGACTATATTTTGTTTGTTCCCATACATTTATGTAATACATAATTACCTCACCATAAACAAATATACCAGGAATTTTACTTCAGGACGGATTACAAAATGTGATGGTAATTCATTTTATGGATATATTTTTTTACTAATTGGTATAGTGAATTTCGTAGATTATTTTTAAATTTAATAACCAATTACTAGCAATAAACCAATGTAGCACGCAACGTCGTAGGCTCTCATTTAATTTTGTCATTTGGTTTCGAACAATAACAATATAAAAAGGATCCATCCGCTATCGTGTCGGATTTTAAAAATATTGTATTTAATTTATATACACAATTTGAAACGGTGAATATTTTAACAGTTACATGTAGCTTCTAGAAAACAATTATAAATGGATTCTCATCTAGATTTATAAAAAAATAAAATCTATTTCAGAAAATGTTTTTGTTTACCATTCAATAAAATTAAGTTTCGCAAAAAACTTTGCCCTCATATTTAAGACATTTATATTAATTTTAATTATCAGTAATTATACACAAAAAAAAAGCGCAACGAATCTTTTTTTTTCCACCTATGCTGATAGCCTTGAGAGGCTATATCAGCGTCGCCTTAACTAGTAGGTGAGCTCACGGGGGCAACGAAAAAAAATTGTGTTCTGGTATAATACTCAGAGAACTTGCTCTTAGTCGCCTTTAATGACACCAATTACACTATGGCATATTATGTTCAACTCCATGTTATGGTCGTTTGTGTTTTCTATAACAACATCGCATTGTTGAGATCTGGATCAATACAAAAAATCGGCACAATAAGTCTTTCATAAAGCGAAAAGTTCCTGATTTCGATAAATCGTCCGAACAATGAACAGGATCGCTATTTGGCACTGACTGATTAACCACTAAAAGTAGTCATTTCCAGGGCGTTGTCGGAGATATCTGGGTAAATCACGTCTCTTTTGAAATCGAACGTTTAACACGTACCCATCATGTTGACAAATCGAAAATTTTAATAGCTTCTATGAATTTCAACTTGGATGGTAAAATTAGTATAGGTTAATTTTACAAATTCTAATTCAACTATTATTGTAACCGTGAAATATTTAATTTTACTTACTTATTTAGATTAGATTATAGAATTTACTATAATTTAATAAAATTACAATTGTTAGATTTGTACAAATCTCAATGTATTTTAATTTATAATTGGTAAGTACAATGGGCTCCACAAACTTATAATCGCCCGTTCAATATTAAAAAATTCACATTTGAAACAGAAAACCTGAATACACATAAATTCTTGCTATTACTATAACACTTTAAGCTTTTATATTCTTTATGTCTATGAATTGACGCTAATTTTAACCAAAGGATCATAAATGATATATTCGGCAATAGATTTAGTATTTTGATTAAAAATCCATATGTTACAAACAAATGTAATAGAATTTCGAGCTAATACTATTTATCTTAGCGCCGGCAGTCAAGTTATAATGACTATGGGCCTTTAACTGGCTATCATAATGCGGAATGATGGAGTCTCTTGCCAACTACGGTTGAAAAATAAGTTTATATTATAAAATATCACACGCGTAAAGTTCTTTTCAAATTAAACACACACTGATTTCACTCAAAACACAACTTTGTATTCAAAATTAATATGATTATGTGCCAAAACCGAATTTGTTTTACACATATTATTTGTTACATAATAAAAGTGACGAGGACAAAACTCCATACAAAACAGCTGTTATGCTAAGCTTACATAAGGATTCCGAAGAAATATTAAGTATGTTTTCTTTTCTTGGGAGTAAAAAACACAAAAAGGACTTTAAAGATCAAAATTATAATGGCGTAACTCGAATGAAAAATTTGGATAGTAGATTTTATTGTACTTCATATAGAAAGCTAGCAGCATAGCTGCATACGAACGCAGATAGGATAAAAACTATGAATAGATCCACAATTCAATTCAATTGATTAATTAGTTCTTTGGTTTATTTTAAAAATGGCGGTTCGATAAAAGTACTGTTGAAATGACTATGAATAAAAGTACTTTTTTTAATGAATGATGGATTACTGGTGGCCCAGGGACCTTTCCAGTCTCACCAGGATAGGCGTGCGAGCAAAGGCTCAGCCAGGAGCGGTGGGATTTGCTAACAGCTGCCCGAGCGCCTCCAAAGGAGACCTAACAACTCAAGAGCAACTGCTTCGCGAATGAATCTACTAAAGGATCGGAATTGCGACCCGCTGCGAAAAACCGGCGAAAACCCAGCGGGCTGATGCATGGGTTAGGTTGCACGTCGAACTATTTGCGGAGTTCGACGAGTAGGGTTACCAAGGTCCGTAAGCCTGCTCCTAGCGTTAGAGATAAAGAGCCTAATACAAGGGTTATTGGATCTGATGGATCCGTAAAGACGGTAAAACTGCCATTCGTTTCATGGCAGATAGCTTTATCACACATAATCGAGCAGAGCTAAACAAGAAAACGAGCAACCCATGCCAGAGATCTTTGGCGAACGAAAAAAGACCAAAGTAGTAACAGAACATACAAAAATTAAAATTATGTGTTAACAATTAATTAAACCCTTAACTGTGAAAATAGCTAACGATATCTATGATTTTTTTATAAGACTCGCGCACTCCGTCAATTGTCACATAGTCAAATCTGCTATTAAAGGTGAGTCAATCCAAGAATCCCCTAGGATTTCTAAGAAGGAGTAAAGGCTTAATTAACGATAAAAATATTAAAATTTTCTTTCTTGGAGGTATTCAAAGGATGCTATAATATGATGACCTGAATATTACCGATTCTATTATTTAACGGATTCTAAATTTTTATATTTTTTTATTTTAGCCAGTTTCCGATATTTCGACTTTATTGCTGTTACCATGATCATGGATGGACTGGAAAATCTCTCACGACCATATAAAAAAGCATTATCGTCATTTTCCTAAAAAGCTGCCCATATCTTGTCGGGGCAAGACAAGATTTGTCTACCCCTAACATCCTACCTGCAGCATTTAGTCTATCAGTGATCATGGCACTTACAACAGCGCTAAAATATCGAGAGCTCACTAAAATAAAAAATCATGGTAATAACCTGTTAAATAATGTTTATGTTCGACTATTAGTCGGGGGATATTGGAATTCGACCCCGGTAACCTCTACCTGGCGGCTACTGTTACTACATTCTCTTAACTCATTATAACAGTATCCGTTCCTCTATTATCTGCTCCAAGTTCAATATATTTTCTCCCTAATTTCATTGGTGGATAGGCCCTACTAATTCACCTATTATAGCAACGAAGCATTCATAAGTTAAAATATTCGCATTATAATATTAATGATACAACATACCACATACCAAACATAGTTAATGTGGATTAAGTTAACATAACAATATGTTTTTTCTATTGCTCTTTTAGGCAGACGAGCATACGGCCCACCTGATGGTGAGTGGTTACCGTCGCCCATGGACTTCAGCAATGCCAGGGGCAGAGCCAAGCTGCTGCCTACCGTTAGGTACTGTCCACAAGTTTCGTTTGCAGAAGGACAAGTCATAGCGCCCAGGAAAGGCCGTGGAGGGGAGTTTGTTCTAAAGCCGGATGGTACGTAGCAAAAAAAATATCTGGAAACGCACTGTGGATGAACGCAGTGGCTCCAGGTAGTTTGGATAAACTTCTACTCTGCGGTGGCGAGCGGTGCGATGGTAAAAACGAGATGATGGAATCATCTCAAACAATTGCATTCTCCATGTAAAATACGGTACAAAATACAGAGAGAAGCGAAATCCCTCCGCAGACCCAGATGTTCCAAACGACCTGTGAGAAGGTCTTGAACGACGCCTTGAGCTCTAACACTAGGAGCAGGCTTAGGGACCCCGGTAACCATACAAGTCGAACTCGACAAAGAGTTCGACGCGCAACCTAACCCATGAATTAGCTCGCTGAGTTTCTCGCCGGATCTTCTCAACGGGTCGCGATTCCGATCCGGTAGTAGATTCATTCGCGAAGCAGCTTCTCTTGAGTTGTTAGGTCTCTTTTGGAGACGCTCGGGCAGCTGTTAGCCAATCCCACCCCCCCTGGCTGACCCTTTGCTCGCCCACCTGTCCTGGTGAAACTGGAAAGCCCTCCGCGCCACCAGTAATCTTCCAATCATAAAAAAAAATGGCTTGAATGAACTTATTGTCTATGGCCTCCGATAAACACTTAACGTCCGATGAAGCGCGAGCTCGTCTGCACGTCTTTACAGAAAATAAAACAAAGTTTTTTTTAAATCTAAAATGTTATTTTGTTCATAATATTTGGAAATTTGTTTATTTTGCTACCGTAATTATCGACTATTTATTTTCATGACTTTTTCGAGCTATCGTGCAACAAGATTTTGATTACAACATCAGTGACACTCGTATTATGACTGTATTTTAGGTGGCTTTTAAAAAGTAAAATATTATATGTGTCCCATATTTATAATTACACGATTGAGTAATAGTTTCAAATACACGAACGTACTTTTAATTCATACAAAATAAGTTGGCAACATGGCAGTTTTTTTTATATTTCATTGCTTTATTCGATAGCCCACCAGGCGTAATTTTTTTGGCTTGGCTGTTTTTGTCTACAATTCGCCATATTGAATCCGCTGTGACGTAACATCCACCCATTATAACATGCGACTCGCCAAAACAAATCGTAACACACGACGCTTGTCCAAATCTGTTGAACAAACTCAAGAACATCAACGTATAAATACAAGACTTCTAAATTCTCATGAATATTTCCTATTTTACTTCACACGCAACTAAAATTTTATTTTATTTTATTTGAACCAGTTTTTAAATAAGTAAAAAGATATTTCGGAAACGGTATGGGCCGGCATACAATCTGCAGACACCCATTAAACTTTTCGAAACATTGAATAAACAGCTATTTAAAAAAAGGTTTTTGCAAAACACATTTAAATACGAATTATACAAAACACCAATTTTATATATTTTATTGAGTAATGTGACATCGATACATCCGATTCGTATCCTGTTATTACAATGTACCTATCTATTATTATGGAATTTTTTGTGCTTTTTCCTAACTCATATCATTAAATAAAGATTAATCGGTAACATTTAATTTAAGGTACTATAATGAACACGGAACAAAGACCATCTACTGAATAGCGGATCGCATTTAACACATTCCAAAACGCATGTATGTATACGTACATTTGAGTTTGTTGCGTATTGTCTGACTTTTTTCTTATCTTCTTAACCGGCGCTGTCACGCTCATCTTGCCTTGCATTCCCCTCCATGTGTCTCCCAGTTGGAGGTCACAGGACTCAATTCTACAGAAGCAGCAAAGAAAAAAAATAAACTTTTATTAAAATACTATGATTTGTAGATATGAATAAAAAAAAGAAATGAACATGATCTTGTTCTTGTGATATTTTCTAATAAATGATTTAAGTTTCCCCTCAGGTGACCTTTACATATTCGTAAACTTAAATGAAAAATATAGCGTAATAGCATTTTTATAATGACTTTTTACCCCACTAGACATTGAAGTAAAGAATACAAAGGAAGCGTCCGCTCCAAAGACGATCCCCCAATCACATAATTATATACTGTGGTGCAAGCTCATGACTCACTTTTCTACTAAATTGAAAACATAATGGTATTGTGTTTATTCAGGTTTTCAAACGAATATTTTACATTCGATTTTAAAATATTTTATTTAACAAATTACATTCAGGTGGGGACTTATTCTTTAATAATGGGCTGACTATCAAGGAATGATGTTAATATTGACACGGTTCATATCAAACACTAGGTACAAAGCAAGCTGAACCTTAATGCAAAAGTGAGACAGAGATATCCAGTCGAACGACGCCTACCGAGGAGCCCCACTACGCAACCTCACTGCGACGGCCGCGCAACCTTGAAATAATAATGTTCGGAATAACAACAACGCGCTACAAGCGTGACCAGAAATAGTATAATAAATAATTCTCGAAAACGTTTCAAACCTTTGTCCAGTTCCTATTGCACACATCCTGTTTTTTGGCACATCTATCTACTATTTTATAAAATATATAGCTTTTGCAAAAATGCCAATGGTTATGTATTTTAACAGCTTATTCAAGATTATTATGCACTTCAAGACAAATATAGCTTTTTTAAATATTGTAAATGATAGACAATAAAAATGTTCACGGTTCGAATTGTGTGTATTTATTAGCACTGATACTTAAACTTGAAACGGTGAAAGTTTGCAAGCATTGTCACCAATCCGCCGTTGAAGGTTTCGCTTTTTCACTGGTTACTCAACAAGTATTCGTCATCGCGGCAACCGTTTTTTATTAAATATCAGAATGACTTTACATAGAAATGATATAATAAAATTTGTGTTACACTAAAAATATATATCGATACGTTTGTACCATTAATTCAAGGATGCTTGTAAAATGAGAGGGTTCCAACGATATGTTGAAACAGAGATGAATTAAACATTATTTTTGGCAACACCGTATGTATAGGTTCAGTTTTTTTTTATTCAAACAAAACGATCTGAATTGTTTTCAATGTTTTAATTTCATTCATTTTTATATAATTTATACATATTTAATATGTAACAATAAAATAGTAAATATGCCTTATTTGCTTATAATATATATTTTGAAAAATTTGATGTTATCCGGTGGGTTCTTAAATAAATCTCCGTGTGCTGCTTATGATTAATTATTATGAAACACCTAGCAAGCATAATATGTTTTTTGCTTATACATTTCGAAAGCCGTGCAAGTTCTAAAAATAACGCTGTATCTTTTTTATCCGCAATCATTGAATTTGTTGTCCTCTGTAGGGATATTTTTTATTTCAAACTTGACTGGCGGTAGTTCGAGAAGACATGAGTAGAATTATGTGAAAGCCATCTAGGGGGTGAGCCTTAGATTAATTATGTTTCCTAAAACCTGTTAACGGCTTGAAGTTTAGGAAGATAAGCGAGGATTTGCGCGTGAGCGCGCCCTTATAATGAAAACTATGTTGAAACCTCACATTGAAACTTGGGTGTTCTGGAACAACATGAACATGGATGTTTTAGTAGGTAGCCATCCATGAAACACCTTGAGGAATTTCATCCGCGAAGCAGCTGCTCTTGAATTATTTATTAGGTTTCCTTTGGAGACGCTCGGGTAGCTGTTAGCAAATCCTATCACTCCTGGCTGAGTCTACGATCGTCCAGCTGTCCTGGTGAAACTGGAAAGGCCTCTGGGCCGCCAGTAATCCCTCAGTCATAAAAAAGTCTTTTACTTTTATTCATAGTCATTACAATAGTACTTTTATCGAACCGCCATTTTTAAAATAATGAATCAATTGAATTGTGGATTTCTATTCATAGATTTTATCCTATCCGCGTTCGTATGCAGCTATGCTAGCTTTCATATGTGAATTTAAAAAAAAGTTATATGACTAATATAAAACAAAAATTTCAAAATATCAACAATCAGTAAATGAAACCGACATATTTTGTTGTAATTTCAAATATATAATATAAATAAATTACAAAATATAGAAAGTAACAGTATTTTTCAAACTTAGATGCTTAAATAAATTACAATGTACATAATTTTTAAGATTAAAATATTAAACATGTCTTCAGAGTAATTGAAAAGAATAAAACTGTTTGAATGATATTGTAAATAATGGATATTAGATCGCTTTATGGGCAGGCAAGCTGTTAAGTAGTTATCGCTCATCTCGAAGTTGAGGTAGAACTGTAGTATATAATAATATTTCCCTTAAACTTTGCTTAATATGTGCATTAGTGACCACTTGCGTACAACTAAATCGTGTTTTAATGGAGCTTATATCGCTATATCAGAAAACACATATCACCGCCCGCTATCTAATCTGCGATATAGACATTGACTGAATCACCGTGACCTGAACTTAACTTATCTAGGTAGAAATAGGTTAGCAAGTAGACCGCTTTACTAGCTAGAAAAAATATAACTATATTTACTTTAGTTCTTTTTTACCAATGAGAATATTACGACAAAGGACCTAAGCTGAGAGCCTTGAGAGGCTATTTCAGCGTAACCCTAACGTTTGTAGGTGAGCTCACTGGGCTCAAACCTGATGACGTTGCTAACACGAACCCTAGCAAGAGCCGTGCTTCGCAGAATCTACCACCGGATCGGAAACGCGACCCACTGAGAAGATCCGGCGAGAAACTCAGTGGGCTGCAAAGGACAGAAGATACACCACTTATATGTAAATAAATGTCTGTCTTTTTCTAATCAGGAGCACAACTGACCGGATAGTCAGCACAGGATCAACAAGAACAGTTCACGCAAAAAAAAAATATGATGGCGTTCATTTAGAACAAAATCTGAAGAAATGAATTCTTAATCCTAATCTACCTTCGAAATACGAAATATAAAAAATGTAATATAGTGTTGCAAAACTTAAATAAAGGAAAGCATCTATACCTAAGAAATATTCAACTTTTCAAAACAAATTGCTAGAAAATAATTCCAAAAAATTACTTTTTCATTACTTAACTCTTACGTGAAAAGTTTATTCATTTTAGACTGCACTTGAAATAAAGTGTGTTGAATAAAATTGTCTGTCCTTGTAGTTTTATCTACTTTAAAGAAATAAAACTTGTTCCGGAAGCAGGACCCACCGACGATGTAAAATATTACGTATTCTGCAATAGTAATTAAAGATAGTAAGAACATAATGTCTCTACTGTATAAATTATAACACATTTTGTTTAAAAGTTAGGCTATTGTCTTTGAGTCTCGAAACTGAAGCAGCCTATATGTCCACAAGATCAACATTTACCCATGACTTCAATAGTGCCACATGTGTTATATTACGTTTTTCGCGAATTATTATACCACGTGGTTTTTTCTACAGTTCGGGTGATCGTAGGTTACCGTCTCTCATTGATATTACTACATAATAAATGGTGAAACTTATCTCTACCTTGTGCAGTGGCCAGTAGTAGGCGGAAAGAACTTCTTTCTCCCTCTATTTGTAGTGGAGATTGAAAGAGGTTGAACGATCGATTTGTAATATTTCCGGTTACGTACAGTGATTTTCATTCTTTATTATTATCCACCCGGCTCCCAACATAGTTAATCTCTAAAACATGAAATCATTGCTTCGATAAAAATTCAGCTTCCATATAATTTTTTCTATGTATCGTTATGTTTTAGAATGTGTTCCTCACCTGGTAGATATTATAATATTTTCCTAGCGCTATGGTATTTCGTTCTTTAAATAGAATTTAAAAAAGTGTTCTCATAGGAAAATAAGAAGGGCTTAATGATATTGGGTTTTTAACTAAATATTCAGAATTCCGAAAACTCAGGGAATATTTTTAAATTGCTTTGTAGATAAAATTTCGTCGTGTTATAAAGCAAAACCACCCCGAAATGCATCAAGCCGGCTACCACACGATACGTTTTCTAGTTCTAGTTTCGAGTGAGCAGTGGCTTGGTTGGTTGTGACACTGTCATGGGTGACGTCCAACGGTGATTACTACTAACACAACTCATCAAACAATGTCAGCAAAAAAAAAAGTAAAATATGTAGTAATTATCAAGTGGAGACTTTAAGTTCAGTAGATAATATTTGAGTTATTGTTATGAACCACTTATCCTCAAGTTACCTTTTAGTTCGTCTGACCTGAAATTCAAGGTAAACATCTTAATGCCTTAATTTAGATAAGGATTTTTATTTGCCCTGACGTTCCGAGAATGAAAGAGTTGTGATATAAACATTTTTGATGCCAAATATTATAGAAAACATGCGCAGAAAACAAAAGGAATAAAATATTCTCATGTGCAATATCGATGTAAGCATAATCTACTGGATTTAATTGTTACATACATTAAATAACTTTACGAATGTGATCAGTGTTGGAGTTAAGGGCGTAATTGTTCAATTCAATTCACTTACATAAGGCACAACAAAGACTTTTTGAAAAATTCAATGATTTTTTGATATTGTCTTCTATGTTGTTCACTGATTGTAAGCCTCATGTCCGTAAAGAGCTTTTTAAATTTCATAAGTAAACAGTTTATTGTACAATATCGACTAAGTAATTGAAACAAAAGCTTTTTTACCTCGTGACTAAAGTCAAACTTTGTCGATGTGGTCTTAAAAACTCGTTCCTAGTTCAGCATTGGTATTCCTGCATTCTTAATATTGTTTTTATTCCAATTTAGTGCAAAAGATGTGAGTTCTTCCACTCAAAGATACAGGCCTTCCCAAATTTATATCTTACTTTCTCATCGCTAACCTTTAATCCAACTATATCAGACTTCTATAT